ATTTATATTATATGATTTAATAATTAGTATAACATAACTACAAATAGTGTTTTATATTGCGCATTATGCTAATAAATCTATATTTAAAAATAGTTATGCTACATTTTATAAAATATATATGTTTATAGAATTTTAGTTACGCTTACAAAAATAAAATAAAAATATTAAGAATGATAATCTCGACCGACAACCCGTGCAATGCACGGGTCCATATCTAGTTGTAACTAATTCTTTAAGCGGTTTAGGCCAAAGTAAATATAAATTTCAATTTAATTTGTACTTTAATTATTTGATAAAAAAGAATTAATAAAATATTTAGAGGATTTTCCAGAGTGTCTTCATGACTTGATTAAAGAGTTGAAATATAATAAAACTCATAGGTTGAAATACAAAGAAATCTGAATTTTGGAAAAGAATCATGTTTAAAAGTATTTATTACATGAATTTTGCTATGGTCGGCACTTAAAAAACTCATCGCTAGCAAAAAAAAAAACCTTTTCAACGGGTCAAATATTGTAAGAAACAAGTTGAATCATACATTAGATGCACTTCAATGAAAGTGGCTTTGACCAAAATATCAAAGAAAATAATGACCATATTGAAACAACAGATTTCTTCAGCGTACAATAATTAAGAGATAATATAGGTTATGTTTTTGCACCCAAAAAAGTTTTGTTTTGTTAAATTATATTGTATGTATGCATGTATAATTAAGAGATAAATATATGAGAAAGATTGAAGATAAAATCCATCGAGACATGGGATGTGTACACAGTTGCAACAAGCGGAAACTATATAAGAACCAATTATAATTACACATTACATGATATGGGTTACATGCATGCATACACTATATCATTTAACAAAAGCAAACAAACCTATACACCCAAAACTCTAATTCAACTATGGCTCTTCTTATACATTACATGATATGAGATACATGCATACACTATAATTTAACAAACACTAAACAAACCTATACAGTATACACCCAGAACTCTAATTCAACTAAGGCTCTTCAATTTTAAAATAAACCCAACACACAACTTCCAACAAACAACCAATGAATGAGACAGAAACTACCTCAAGATATGTGACTACCGTCTGAAACGGTTAAGCGGCCGAGTGTGTCGATGAATCATATCTCGAGTGTCCCCAACAGTTTCAATGGGTCTAATATCTCATAAATCTTCTGATTACCCCTGCTCTCATACATTAAGATATCAATGTTAGAATATAGCTTTTGATTCTAATATATTTTCATTATCACGAAACCAGAAGCTTCACCTGTAGAGGCAATCTACTAAAATTAGACTCATCTACGGATAAGCGGAGATGCTGATCCTGAGCCCGACGATGGTAAAGGCCTTCTCACAAATGGATGGTTCAGCAGCTCAGCTGCAGTTGGCCGCTCTTCGGGGTTCACTTTGAGACATGTAACTATGAAATCTCGAGCATCTAGCAATAGAGTATCAGGTATGTCTGGAAGCGTACCCCTTTCGATCCTAATCTGGGCTTGAACCTGCGCGTTTGCACAAATTCTGACTTTAACTCATAAAATCCCATTCTAACAAAAAAGACAATTCAAATGTCGATTTTTCAGTTTTTTTTTTTTTATATTTTGTTGTTAATAAAAATAACAGCAGTTCCAAGTATTTTAGCATGTACTTAACTAAAGGTGCAAAAACAAAGCGTTGTAATGAGACTGCATATTAACCTGAGCTAAATGTTTTGTTTGTGTATTTTTATAGAACCCCAAAAAATTAGTCTATATTTCGAAATTAGCTAAAGGATTGGTGATTTTTATGGGAATTTCCCTATTTTATACGATGAAAGTTTGAAAATCTTGAAGACTTACGGGTGTTAGACCAGAGTACGGGATATGACCAGTACACATTTCTAGCACAGTGCAACCAAGGCTCCATATATCAGCTGGATTTCCATAGCCATCATCATTACCCTTGGGGTTAACAACCTGATCAAATGATTATGTTCCATTTAGAAACAACCGTTAATACAATGAAAGTGGAAGGAAGCCAAATATATCTGTTACGTATGATTGATTACACAAACATACTTACTGTTATAAACAGAAATAAAGGAAATTTAATCAAATACTTTGAAGAGAACACAATGGGGGGGGGGGGGGGGGGGGGTTTTGAGGTTATCAAGCCCAGATCACAACGTATGCAACAATATATTTAAGCAACAGTTTATCAGCCAACATTGCTATCGATATGTGATATGTGTGTCTATCCTTGTATTCCCACAATCCAAAACAGTGAGAAGGATCAGAACAAAATTACCTCCGGAGCCATCCAAAATGGAGTTCCCTTGCAGGATTTACTGTCATTTAACTTTGACACCTAAATAACAAAATGACACATGTAGCAAGTCAGGGGGATAAGCAATGTACCATGTTATTACTCTAGAGCTAAAAGTATAAATATCTATTAATGGAAAACAACCTTTGCCAATCCAAAATCTGCAAGTTTGACGGCGCCATAAGCGTCCACCAATATATTTGCACATTTGATGTCCCTTTGTTTCATAAGAGAGAAACATAAGCAACCCATGATATGCTGGAAATTAGAGGGTTGGGAATTACAGCTATGCCAAGAGAGTTTACTAGTCTAACCTGTGAATAAAACCTTTATCGTGAAGATATTTTAAGCCGTCAAGAATCTGTTTTGTGTACAAAGACACTACAGAGTCCCGAAGCTGGTATCTTTGGTAGAGTTTTAGAAGGGACCCTTGGGTTACAAGCTCAAGAAAAATGTACAAATTTGACCCGTCCTGCAAACATCAAAATAAGTTATTAGTTGCACAACGAAATGCTTAGGTAACAAAATGCTTAGACAACTGCAACTGAGAACTGGAAATGCAGAACAGGGCCATACCTTGTCTGTGCCACGGTATCGCAGAATATTCCGATGCTCAAGCTGACTAAGTAGTGCAACTTCCTGTAGAAAATGAAAAATGTGGCAAAGGTAAGGTGGATTAGCAACCTAATTTTGACTGATCAATGAGATATATGTTGTGGATCATATATGAAATTTCCATACCCCCTCAAGTTGTTGTATGCATTCTTGTGCCTGACTTCCTTGATCTAGAAGTGAAACTTCCTCGACAGCAAAGAAGAGCCCATCTCTACATTTAACATAAACATGCATTAGCCAAACGCATAATGGAAAAGTCGCTTTGCACCGCAATTGTCAACTGACTACCGTCTACATTTTTTTTAAAACGACATGCAATTATACAAACATAAGAAACCAGTAAGACTTACTCTGAAATGGCTTCATACACAGAGCCAAATGATCCTCGTCGCAGAAGTTGACCCTTTTGCCAAGAAGTATTGATAGATCCTCCAGAGACATAAATCGGCGAGGTATTGGATACTGAACTTGAGGAGTCACACTCATTTGTAGTGAATGAGCATGCCTCATCAGTCGTATCATCCACTTGGATAAACATATCTCCCGTCTCTTCCGTTTCCACTTTTTCATCCCAGGCTTCCTCTTCATCACAACCATTTTCGGAAGAAGAAGAGGAACTCGGCCGCCTAACTGTTTCACTATCCGGAGCAAAATGAGTAAGAAAATCCCAAGATGATCCCGGAAGATCAACTGGAGGTAGCTTCATCACCGGAGGAGGCTTAAGTACCGATGGTCTTACCCCCTTTATACCACTCCTATTCTCTGCCGTACCACCATCAACGACTTCCTTATCTTCTTGAGGAAGGTTTAGTACCGGTGGTATTACCTTCATTCCACCACCGACAACCACCGCATCATTGGGAACAAGATACCCTTTTGACTTCACCAAAATAGTTGGTTTTCGTTCAATATCACTCTTGTTCTCCACCATACCAACATCAACAACTTCCTTATCAGCCAGAGTAAGGTTTAGTACCGGTGGTCTTACCCCCTTAATTCCACCACCAACAGCCACCACATCATTGGGAACAAGATACCCTCTCGACTTCACCAAAATGGTCGGTTTTCGCTCAATACCACGCTTGTTCTCTACTGTATCACCATCAACAACTTCCTTATCCGTCAAAGTACTTAACTTCTCAATCTTGTTCGACTCGGAAAGCGTCAAATTAGAAGCAACAACAACACCACTAGGACCTGCTTCACTCAAACCCTGACTATAAACCTCTTGACAATCAATGTCAAGAGACTTCAACCTATTAACAACATCTGAAGAGGAACGCTCCTTACCAGCTTCCCAAGCATCAGAAGAAATGGCAAAATCTTCAGGACCGGAAACATCAAAATACCGATAAATCCTATCAATTTCTCCTTCATCAACTCCACCGACTCGAAAACTAGTACGATTCGGGAAATCCAAAGAACGAGTCATCAACAACGAAGAAGTTGAACCAAAACAATCTTCACCTGCATCATAACTGATATTCCTCAACGCATCACGACGGTCTAACCGCCGCACCGGACTTGTCTTATCTCCTCTTCTTCCCGGTGAAAGAAGAGGAGATTTCTTCATACGAGCTAGAATTCTATCAATAAACAAAGAGCGAGTCATCGACGAAGAAGTTGAAACAGAAATATCTTCATTGGGAGCTAAATTTTCAATCTTATTCGACTCGGAAGGTATTAACTCAGTCTCACTCGAATCGGAACGAGTCAACTCAGTAATGTCCAGATTCGTTGAACTAGGAGCTGCTTCACTCAAATCCATTTGCCGGAAACTGATGCGATGCGGGAACTCCATAGAGGGAGTCAAAAAGGAACAAGTCGACTCGGAATCAGTGAAGGAACTAGAAGAAGACTCTGCGTCAGAGTTGAATTGCTTCGCCGTGTCATGTCGCCGCACCGGAGACTTATCCGACGACTTCTTCATGTGAGCAACGACGATTGGTAAACTTGTTTATTAGAATTGTCAGTCTTCTTTATAATTATTTTATTATTTTCTCTTTTCATGTTTTTTTTTTTCATAAAGTAATCCAGTATAGTGTTCTAAAAGGTGTTTTTTTTTTTTTTCACTTAATTTTTCATTATAAACCAAAGGTGAAATACAAGGGTGGAATGCATTTTTGAAATACTAAGCCGGCGGAAAACAAAAAAATCCCCGGAAGCTAAAGCCCGATACACGGGAAGCACTTGATTAGACTACATGGCACAAAAGACCATAACAACTAAGAATTACGGAACTCTAAAAACAAAGGTAGATCAAACAAACAACAGAGGAGGAGGCAATGAATCATAAGAACTGAAGAGAATAAGGAACAGAGCAAACCGACGACTACCTCAAAGAACCTGTAGAAGCCGAGTTTGAGCAAAAACCAAGTGCAACGAAGAGAAACCAAAGGACACTACCAGATAACCGGAAGCACGAACCAAATAGAAACTCCAGCACAAACAGCAACAAACCGACGAAAGCAAACGCAAGACTGAACAAAAACCACAACGGGCACCAACACCAAACCAACCTCGATGAGAAGACGCTGCAGACGAGATAAGCTAGGCTCAAGGAGGGGACCTTGAACTCCAAAGGGAGAAAACGTCAGAGAGGATCTCCAGCTCTTACACGTGGACATTCGTGAAGAACAGCCTCAGCCATCTACAGCCTTAAGACCGACCACGACCTCGCAAGAGAAGAGTCAAAGAAGGAACCAATTCCAACGCCTTGAACTCAACACCCAAACCAAAAGGCCCAGGAGATGAGCTAGTAGATGCCATTGAAACGAGAAGCTTTCCGAGAGACGAACTGCACCAGAGGAAACCTAAACCTAGCTCACACAACCAAGCTCACGAGAAGACCAAGAGGTGAAGGAGAACTAAGGACCCATAAAGCCTCCCACACAATCTGATGAAAATCTGATCTACCAAACAGAGACACCGCAACACAATCGAAACCCAAAGCTAAGACCAGACTACTTAAACACATAACCAGAGCAAAACACTAACTCCACAGGAGGATGACGGAGGCAGAGAACGAAACCAGCAGCTGCACCCGTCAGAAGAACCAAACTAAAAGCTTCTGATGGCAAGAGAAGAGACCCAGAAGAGAGAAAACAAAGGGATCTGAGACAAACCGTTAACCTGTGAAGCCGGATGAACCGTAACTTTAGACCACAAAGCCAACAGATCCATCGAAATCGGATCCATGGGATTAAGAACTGCTCTCTACGCGCCGCCACGAACCTTCAAAACCCACTGCCACGAACCACCAGCCTACAACATCAAGAGCCTCACACACGGAGAAGGTAAAGCCAAGAAAGAAGAAACGAAAACATACTTAATCTAAAGAGAGAAAGTCGACTCCGGTGCTATGTAAGCCACCGGAGCCGAAAAGCGGCGGCCAACCCTAGATCTAGTTTTTAGAGAGAAGGGAGAGAAGGGAGAGAAGGGAGAGATGAGAGAGGTATTCTTATGCTGCTTTCAATCACCTTTTAATTATTTGTTTGTGGTTTTTTAAACTCAACTTAAATTTAAACAAATCGTATAAATAAAAATAATTTAATTTATGATTTATGATTTATGGTTAATATTTTTCAAATTAGAGTTTGCGACTCTTTAAAAAAAAATATTTTTTTCACGATATAAAAGCTCAAGTTTTGATTTAAGAAACTAATATTACATGATGTGGTATGCTGGAGAGATTACGGGTTTTGGTCCATAACCTCTTCGTATTCAAAAAAAAAATTATAGCTAATTCAGATTCAGTTGGATTTGGTTCAATTTTGGATTAAAATGTAGTTAAATAATGATTAACTATTAGGAAAAAAAAAAAACAAAAAAACAATTTCCCATTTTTTGATGTTTTATTCCGAAATGAAGAATCATTGGATATTCTGAGTGGTTCGTATTATGGTCCCATTATCATATAAGGAGTCAAAATTCTTTTGAATATTTTTCATAACATCCATCAATTGCAATAACTTTTCAACGGGCAATATTGTAAGAAACAAGCTGAATTATATAGACTTCAATTAAAGTGGCTTTGACCAAAATCAAAGAAAATGTTTTGACCATACTTTTTAATCTCTATACTATTAAAAGAGAAGTACAAATGAAAATGGGTCGGGTTAAAATCAGAAAATTGACCCGAAATTCTCAAATCGGATCTTTGAAATTTTTTTGGAATCTAAATTCGAATTAATAATGAAAAGTCAAAATAAAATCAAATATTTATGTAAATCAAATAAAATCTGATTGTACTTATGGTAACTAATAATAAAAGCATATTCCAAACAATATTATACATTAATTACATATAATAAATTTGTTCATATATTTTTGGGACTAATTCCATAACAATCAACGTTTTTGTTATTAATTTCGCTCATTTTAGTCAATTATCATTAATTGAAAGATATTTTACTTGCTTTTAAAGATTTCTAGAAAATTTTTCACAAATAACTCATTTGTTTTATAAATTAAATTGATATTTTTATTTTGGTCGTGTAAATTAAATAGATATTTTTATTTTGGTCGTGTAAATTAAATAGATATGAAATCCATGTAACTAATTTTAATTTAATTAGATTAAATCAAAATTATGATATTTTCATACCTATAGCTTACCAAAGAAGTTTAATTTTCAATTTATAAAGATTTCTTGAATATGATTTTAGAATTATTCAACAAGATGATAAGTATTTATTAAATTTTGTAAATCATGAAAAATAATAATTAATTTTTAATCATTATACTTCATCTTTCAATCTCTCATCTAACAAATAAGATACATATTCTATTATTATTATGTCCAAACTTCATTTTATTGTATGACTAAATAATATTCCCATTAGAACTGTCAAAGCGAGTTGATTCGTCCCGTTAAGTCCGTTTTGCGATAGACAAAAAATATTTTGACTTGTGGTTAGTCGGTCCGCACGACCCGCGGGTAGCATATATGAAATACAAACTCGTACTGCGAATGTATGCGGATTTGCGGGATTGTCTATGGATTTTGTTTAAATAATTTTAAAGTAACCAAAATTTAAAATACTACTAAAATAAATAAATAAATCAAAATACTATTAAAAGTTTGTTTAAATTACCACATGTTGAATAAGTTATAATTTTATCAATAAATACTAATATGCGGGCTGATCCGCCAACCCGCGGATGAAAACCGATTAAACCTATGACCCACTGCGAATTAATCCATGTGGCCCGCTTATTTGCGGGTTTAATATATTTTCCCAAATCTGCCCCATAGTGAGATAATGTGGGCTCGACCCGCGGTTTTTGACCTATTTTGACTGCTCTAATTCTCATGAATCGTCTAATTTTAGAATTTTAAAACACAAAATTCTATTTTGTAAATCATAATTAATACGATGGATATATTTATAAACAATTTTACATTTTCTCTACAATTCGTTATTATGAATATTTATAAGTATACTACACGATTCGGTCTAATAAAAAACACATACAATATTAAACGCAACGTATGTAAACCAATATTCTCCCGCGGTGGACCGCGGGTCCGATCCTAGTAGATGATTAGAGCAGCAGATCTCTTAAAAGATATAAGTATATAACTATACAAGTATGAGACAAATAGAAGATTAAACCCATCGATGTGTACACAGTTACAACAATCAGGAACTAGATAAGAACCAACTATAATTATACATTACATTACATGATATAGGATACATACAGAGATACACTATAATTTAACAAAAGCTAAACAAAACCTATACACCCAAAACCCCAAGGTCGACATTCTAATTCCTAGAAAAATAAGGCTCTTCAGTTTTCAAGCCCAACACATAATAACTTACAACAAACAACGAATGAGACCGAAACTACCTCAAGATATGTCTCCAGGAAGTTTGGCTCTTGCTGCGCAACCCAACCACGCATGTCTGTGTGTGCTGAAGAAGAATCATATCTCGTGTCTCCCCAATAGTTTCTCTGGGGTCTAACCTCTCATAAATCTTCTGGTTATGCCTGCTTTTGTACATTAGGACATCAATGTTAGAATATACAGATTTTGATTTTGATAATATTCTCATGAAAAAATGAAACTAAATGCTTCACCTTTAGAGGCAGTTTACTAAAATTAGCCTCATCTACGGAGTAGCGGAGATGCTGATCCCGAGCCTCCTGAGCCCATAGATGGTAAGGGCCTTCTCACAAAGGGATGGTTCAGTAGTTCAGCTGCAGTTGGCCGCTCTTCCGGGTTCACTTTGAGACATTTAAGTATGAAATGCCGAGCGTCCAGTGATAAAGTATCAGGTACTTCCGGAAGCGTACCCCTTCCGATCCTAAACAGGGCTTGAACCTGCGCGTTTGCAAAAATTCTGACTTTAACACACAAAATCCATAAGAAAAACGGTTCAAATGCCATTTAAGATTCTGAAGTCTTTTACTAGCTAAATAGTTGCTGATTTTTGTGGGAATTTCACTATTTTATTTGAAGAAAGTTTGAAAATCTTGAAAACTTACGGGTTCTAGATCGGAGTAGGGGATCTTCCCAGTACACATTTCCAGTACAGTGCACCCAAGGCTCCAAATATCAGCTGGACTTCCATACCCATCACTATCCTTCCGGTTAATAACCTGACCAAATTATTATGTTCTATTTAGAAACCAACGTACAAGTATAGCCTGAAGTACAATGAAAGTGAAATGAATCCACATATTTAAGTAACAGTTCAAGATCTAACATTTCTATTGATGTAATGATATGTTTTTCTAACTGCATATCAGAGGGAAAAGTTTCCCAAAAAATTACCTCTGGAGCCATCCAAAATGGAGTTCCCTTGCAGGACTTAATGTCGTTGAACTTTGACACCTACATAGCAAAATGACAAATGTATCAAGGGGATAAACGATGGACCAAGTAATTACTTAAGAGCAAAAGCAATAAACATCTATTAGTGGATAAGAACCTTTGCCAATCCAAAATCTGCAAGTTTGACGGCGCCATTAGCGTCCACCAATATATTGGCACATTTGATGTCCCTTTGTTGCATAAGATGATAATAATAAGTGACCCATGATATGCAGGAAATTAGAGGCTTGGGAATTACAGCTGTGCCAAGAGAGTTTACTAGTCTAACCTGTGAATAAAACCTTTATCGTGGAGATATTTCAAACCGTCAAGAATCTGTCTTGTGTACAAGGAAACTACAGAGTCCCGAAGCTGATATCTTTGGTAGAGTTTTAGAAGGGAGCCCTGGGTTACAAGCTCAAGAAAAATGTACAAATTTGACCCGTCCTGAAAACAGCAAAATGAGTTATTAATTGCACAACGAAATAGTTAGGCAACTGCAACTGAGAAAAAGAAAGAGAGAACAGGACCACACCTTGGCTGTACCACGATATCGCACAATATTCTGATGCTGAAGCTGACTAAGTAGTGCAATCTCCTGTAGAAAATGAAAAATGTGGCAAAGGAAAGTTGGATTAATAACCGACTTTTGACTGATCAATGAGATAATGCTACAATTAAAAAAGAGTGATAAATGCTGCGGATCATAGACCCATGTCTAAGAAACTTCCATACCCCCTCAAGTTGTTGTATGCATTCTTGTGCCTGACTTCCCTGATCAAGAAGTGAAACTTCCTTGACAGCAAAGAAGTCCCCATCTCTACATTTAACATAAACATCTATTAGCCAAACGCATAATGGAAAACTCGCTTGGCACCGCATTTGTCAACTGACTACCTTAATATTCCTCACTGAGTGTCTACTTTTTTTAAAACGATGTGCTACTAAGTATCTGAGTTTTAGTTTAACAAACATAAGCAACCAATAAGCCTTACCCTGAAATGCCTTCATACACAGAACCAAATGATCCTCGTCCCAGAAGTTGACCCTTCTGCCAAGACGTAATGATAGATCCTCCATCAGGATAGATCGGCGAAGTATTGGATACTGTGCTTGAGGAGTCACCCTCGTTTGTAGTGAATGAGCATGCTTCGTCAGCTGTATCCCCCAACTGAACAAACCTAGCTCCCATCTCTTCCGTTTCCACTTCCTCTACCTTAGCTTCCTCGTCATCACAGCCATTCTCGGAAGAAGAAGAAGAGGAACTAGGCCGCTTAACTGTTTCACTTGGAGCGAAATGTGTAAGGAAATCCCAAGAAGATCCCCGGAGATCAATAGGAGGTCGTTTCATCGCCGGAGGAGGCTTAAGTACTGGTGGTCTTACCCCCTTAATACCACCACCAACAGTGACTACATCATTGGGAACAAGATACCCTTTCGACTTCACCAAAATAGTCGGTGTTCGTTCAAAAGCACGCCTATTCTCTACAATTCCTGGCGTACCACCATCAACTACTACTCTATCCACAGGAGTACTTAAATTCCCAATCTCACTCAACTCGGAAGGCATCAACTCATTAATGTCCCGATTCGTTGAACTAGAAGCAACAACAACACCACTAGGACCTGCTTCACTCAAATCCAGATGATTCAATGAATTAGAAGTAACAACAACACCACTAGGACCAGCTTCATTCAAATCCCTCTCCTGAACCTTATGATTATCAATGTCAAAAGACTTAAACCTATTAACAACATCAGAAGAAGAACGCTTCTTACAAGCTTCCCAAGCATCAAAAGAAATCGCCAAATCATCAGGACCAGAAACACCAAGAGACCGATAAATCCGATCCATTTCTCCTTCACCACCTCCACCGATTCGAAAACTAGTAGGCTCAGGAAACTCCAAAGAGCGAGTCATCAACGAAGAAGTTGAAACGGAAAGATCTTCAGCTGACGAACTAGAACTAGACGCTGCATCATAATTGATATTCCTCGCCGCATCACGACGCTCTAACCGCCGTACCGGAGTAATCTTATCTCCTCCTCTTCGTCCCGATGATTTCTTCATACGAGCTAGAATTCTATCCATAACCAGCTAAAATCCATACGCTATTTACAAGTTCCAAAGTCAAAAAGAAGAGAATCGCACCTCTTACTTGGCTTCAATGGAGCTTGGAATTGGAAAATTTTCCCGAGAAAATCTAGGAAAGATAGAAAACTCGCGGGAGTGAAGAAGACCGAGAAATTTGGGCAAAACCTGACGGCGATGAGAGATGAGAGAGAGAGAGAGAGAGAGAGAGAGAGAAGAAATGTAAACAAAAACGCGGTGTTTCGTGGAATAATCGGAGACGAAGCATTGTTTCTGCGTTTTTGATTCAGAGTCTTACTTTTTTTTTTTTAACGCGTTCACTTACTGGGCTTTTTTTTTTTATTGTTTGGGCTTATTGGGCTTTCGGTTTTATTATATACACATGCCATGGTGTTCTGAGTTGGATAAATAGATTGGAGTTGGTTGTTTTAAGAAGTAGAGTTTAGATGGTTTTGGTTTTTTTAGGTGTTAAACATTTGTAGATTTAGGGATGTGAATATGAGTGTGAAATCCGCGGACTGGGTATAAACCGCTTTGCTATAAGAGGGGTTGACATTATATATTTTTAAGTTCATAAGAAAATGGGTGTCGCGGATTAATCAATCACGGTTGTAGGTTATTGCGAGTTTGATTGTGTGTTCATGGTAGTAGAAAATGAATGTCGTGGATTAGTCAATAACGGTGTTGAGTTGTGACAAAAACATCGGCGACGAAACCTAGTTCTAAAACAATGTCATGTTGAAGTTCAAAATTTTAAAAGACTACAAGCAAACAAATAAAAGGATTGCTTTGATAAATCTAAATCGACCAAAAGTTTCTACCGCTCACTTTCTTTCTCCGATGACCTACTCATCACAGTAACTCTTAAACCAAAGGCTTTACCAATCTTCACAGCGATATGACCAAGTCCACCAAGTCCATTCACACCTAAATGTTTCCCTGATTCTTCAGTCATACCATAATACTTCATTGGACTGTACACAGCGATTCCAGCACAGAGCAGCGGGAATGCTTAGGACAAAGCGGTGATCGACAACAATTACGTTGGAATTACCAATCTTCACAGCGATATGTTCCAATTAGGAATGGTTTTAGACCGTATAAGGTCCGGCTTGAATAGGATGGGCAAAAGGGCAACAATCTGAGGGCCCGTGAATTTTGTCTTCTAAATAAGGGCTGATATTTTGTTTTTCTTAAAAAAAAATGTAACATACAATATAAAAGGGCCCAAGGAAATTTTCTTTCTAAATTCTCATAAACAATTGCCGTAGTTTGATTGTATAAGATGAATTTCTAACATAAAAGACCCGTATTGTAGAAAGAAAAAAAGTTTAAAATAGGGTCCAAAAACTCAAAAAATTTAAACGTATTGATAGAAGGGACCAAAAAAAAATTGGCCTTAGGGACATTACAACTATTGGGCCGGACTTAATCGCATGATGCTGTTATATTAGAACCTAAGAGTAAAATTGATAAAAATCACCAAATTTTGTATGGGAATACCCATTGTTCCATACCTAGTACATATGATACAAATAATTTCCATTATTTTTACAAACGAATGATCTTATCGATCCAATGTCAAAGAATGGAATATCATTATTCAAAGAGAGTTTGTCAATTTTGCTTTTATTGTTCTCAACATTAATGGTATGAATATCAGTCAAACTCAAAAAAGAATGTATAGATATAATGATTTAACGGGAAAATTGCTTTAGGAGTTGTGCGTATGAGGAAACAATTAATCGTTTATTATTTGAATGACCATGGTCCTTGCAAATATGGATCCTATTTCCGTTTCGTATGAATGTATCATGGATGCTATGGTTCAGTTGGAAGTCAGGGAATGGAATGATCTTTTGAAAATTTTTGGTGAGCCTCCGGATATTCACAATATGTTATATGTGAGTTTAAAACTTGGAAAGAAGCTCAACTACCAGCCCTTCGATTCGTGGAGAATCCAGCTCAATCGATAGTAGAAAAAGAGACTCTTAGAAGAATTATGATCCAACCAAGGGCTTGAAATATATTTATATAAAGGCTGAAAATACTATGGGGCTTTGAAGAGTTAAGTATCAGAGAAGAAGTTTGTTCCCTTTGCTTAAAATTGGAAGCGCTGATGTAGTTTACATTAATTATGATTTTTCGAGGGATAAGTTGCTTAGATTTTGAGACGAAATGGGTGGAGTTGATCAAGATGAAACAAACAGTTTCTTAGATGACCCACATTCAGGATCTTTTTGGATGGATTCAAACTACTTAAGAATTGGTTTAGTTTTTTTTCGCTCCTCACGGCTGAAATTATTAAGTAAAATTTTTAGTTAGATTAGTTCGTAAAGGTAATGATTTTGTTTATGTAAACTCTTGAAGAGATGTTTAATAAAAATAAATATATAGTATAAATGATAAATATATTTACATAGTTGAAATAAATATATAGTATAAATAATAAATATATTTACATAGTTGTGACAATATAATATGTAAAATATGTGATAATGTAAGGAAATTTTATGTATAAAATTATAATATTTACAAAAGAGTAGTATTAAAATTTATTTACAATACTTATAATTGTTAATTTAAATTTTAAAAATTAATTTATTTTAATTTATTTTTTAAATATAAAAATTAAGCATGTGGTCCGATCCGCTAACCCGCTGGGTTTACTAGGGCGGCCCTCCGGCCCAGATGGGCGCGACCCAACCTGATTAACACCTCTAAACTATTTTCATCCTTATTTGGTAGCAAAAATAAAGCTTTTAATTTTTAAAAAACTTTTGGTTGACCAAAAAAAGTCAATATCAAATAAACAAAATTGTCTAAAATTGAACAGTACATTGTAAACTCTATTTTATTAACCCTAAACAAAAAATCTTAACCCAAATCCCTTATACTTAAATTTATTAACCCTTTAATTAATAAGTTATCTATCTATATAGTTTTGGAAGAGTTAGCCTTTTCTATAAAAAAAACTAAAACTTTGTCTCCTAGTTATCCATAATTAGGAAACAAATCCTAAAGTACTTTATTCAAATAAATAATATAAAGAAATTTTAATATTTTGATGTGTAATTTGGTAATATATTTAATATTTGGACACATTGACATTATAATTAGGCAATTTGGTAACATGTTAATGAAATATTAATGTTTATTAACTTATTAAAAATATTTAAAATTTAAATTGGGTAAAAATAATTGTATTACACAATCTGGTATTATATTAATGTCTATTAACTAAGTATAGTAAATTATTAATCAAAATTTTAAAAATTTAATGTTTGGATATCCTACTTGTTAAAGTAATAGTTTTCCTTGTAAAATTGACCATATCAATGATAAATTATGTACAAAAATAGTGTGTACTTTTAAATATGACTTATGACATGTGTAAAAAAGTAAGAAAATTTATAGTAACACAATAATTAACTTAAATTGGCCAAAGACACATTAATAAAATTGCTATATATATCGAAAGGGCGCGAAATCGTTTTCTCATAGTTTACCAGAAGTTTCACTCAAACATTTGCAAAGTATTTTTCTGCAAGTAAATACAAGTAACTCTTTTTCCGTTCCTAAATACAAATAGATCTTATTTGCCGCGTTAAAACCGTTAAATCTTTTTTCCCGCGAAAATTTGAATCTTGGTTTTTCCGTACGTTAAATCTCTTTTCGCTCGTATATACAGGTAAATCTCTTCTCGTTTATAAATACGTTCAACTTAGTGTTTGTAAACATAGTTAAGTATTTTTTTCCTAACTTTTTTTCTTTTATAAATACAAAAACAACTATAGTAGTAATACATTTGCTTGCAATTTTTCTAATTCTGAATTTTTTTAGATCATTGTCTTTCTTCCGAATTTTGACTTATACACAAATAAGGAAAACCTAGTATAACAAAAAAATTTATAAATATAAAAAAATATATAAAAACTTGAGAAAGAGAGAGCTTTCTCGGAGAGAAGAAAGAGGCTGCTGTTTGTTCATGCGTTTCGTTCCTTGAACAAGTTTTCTCAAAGAAACAAAAAAAAAAAAAAAAAACATTTCGCCTCCTTCTCTTCTTCTTCTTCTCTACCAGTCTCTTCTCTCTCGCACCATCGCAAAAACCCTAATTTCTCTTCGATTTTCTCTTCTCACAAACCCTAATTGTTTCCTCCACTCGTTTTTTCCTTCCATCGTTTGGGTTTCTTTAAGTTTCTCTTTTGTTTGGGGAAGAAGCCATTGTTTTCTTTGAGCGATTGAATCTATAAAACTTCTTCTTCTGGGTTTGGGTTTTGGTGTTTGTTCTTCGTCTCTTTCGTTGAACCCGTTGTTTCGATTTTCTTTGTTCTCGGGAAAATTTTTCTGGTGATGCGTTGAAACGAATTCTGCCGTTGTTGTGTTGAATTCTAGGGCTAGTGATAGGTTTTATTGGCGTAGGTGATTAGGGTTTCTGGTTAGTGACATCACTGTGAATTCAGGCTGGTTCCTTTATTGGTGGGTTTGGATGATGATGATTATGATGATCTTCTAGGTTGGTCTTAGAGTGTGTGTCTAAGCCATCTGTGGGAGAGATGGATGTGTAGAGGGTTTTTCTCATCATTGATTTTGTGTTCTATTGTGCTTTGAGACGATTCGATTCATTTGGTTTTGAGAGTGGATTTTCTTCCCTGCCCTTTGTGGTGGTAGGTTGATTAGATGTTTAGGAAGAAGAGTTGTTGAGAGTGAAATAGGCAATAGAATTGCTGAATCTTTCTTTTATCTGATGAAGTATAGCTTTCATAATGGAAAAACGCGGTGAACCCTCTTTAGTGCCTGAATGGTTGAGAAGTTCAGGACATGGTTCTGGTGTTGGGAGTTCAAATCAGCTTTTATCATCTTCTAATTCTCATTCAGGTATGCTCGAGTTTGTTTGATTTCGTAATTGTTATATCTTGTTCATAGCATTGTAAACCAGTTGTTCGATTTATCTGAATAGCGTTGTAAGTCTGTTTTATTTTTGTTTTGGTGTAGATTCTTCTTCGTTGTTACCTAATAGCAAGAATAGGAATTCTAGGAGCAGAAGTGATGTTGATTCAGTTCGGTCTCCTTTTCTCGATCGGTCTTCTTCTACCAATACAAGGAGGGGATCTAGTAATGGTTCTACCAAACATGCATATAGTAGTTTCAACTTCAATAGGAGCAACAGAGATAAAGATCGGAGCAGGGAGAAAGATAGGTTGAGCTACATGGATCCATGGGACCATGACACTTCTCTGCCTTTTGGAACCTTCTTGATTGGTACGGGACA